GAGGCAGGGAGGCTCTCTGCCCAGGGAACCCCAGCTCCTAAGTTCCAGAGACCCTAGCTTTTGACTTCAGCTAAGGCCTGCTGGGTGAGGAATTTCCATCCTGTTGATTCCTTCCACTCTGTTTGGTGGAGAGGACAGGAAGAGACATAAACACAATGCCTAAATTTTTTTTTTTTAACCTGAAAAATGAGTGAGTGGATGTACTCGTTACTATGATGGGAGAACTGGGGCAGATGCAGCTTCCCAGGAATGGCAGGAGTGAAGAAAGTAAGGGAGAGAGTGGGAGAAGTCATGGGAGGTCAGGATGTTCCATTTTGTTGCGTGATTGCAATTTTATAATTTTCCCAAGATGTAAATTACTGTTTTGCCCAAAAAAGATTTCTTCTATTTCTTGCATTGATTGTGTTTCATTCTGTATTTTTAACACCTATTTGTATGTTTTGGTCTCTCTTTCATGTGGGAAGCTTCCCTCAAATGTTTAGTCACTGTTGACTGTTGGTGCATGATTATCAATGGGGGCATGGAGCTCATTCATGCATGGTTTTACTATAAGATGATTGCATGTCAGCCTGGCCTGTTCATTTTAGAACCCTACCAAGTCTGTATCCAGAGGTCTTTGGTGCCTTTAGTTTCTGCGGTCTCTTGCCAGGTGTAGGATGAGCTGCTGGTGTGTGTAGTCTGCCTACCAGTGTTTCTGGAGATGAGCTGGGGAAAGGAACTAGAATTTCACTGTCACTGTGAAGGCACTCACTCAAGTCCCCAATTTTCAGCCCTATGACCTCATTCTCTGCTCTGGTTGATATCTCTGAGTCCAGTGCAGGCTTAATTTCTACAGAGGACAAACCCATAGTGTCCTATGGTGGGAGAGTAGTACGTCTCCCAGCTTTTTAAGGTTGAGGAGGAAACCAAGATGGGGTCTGACTTTTAAACAGTTGCCCTGTGTTCATCTTTGTGCCTCATCCTCACCTCTTTCATCCCCTCTGCCTGCACACCCTGAACCTTCCATAGTACTGGTGTGTATGTGGGGGTGTGTGATCTTATTACTCACTCAGGTTCCCCTCTATAAATGTTTAGGTTCTAGCTTCTTCTTTTCCTAAGTCACTGTTGATGCCCCAGCCACTTTCCATGTTCTAAAATTCTGCTAGCATCTTTCCTCCTTATTCTTATGGTTTTAAATAGTTTGCTGACATTTTTATAGCTGCCCACAAATTTATGATTTCTGGCACTCATCATTCTTTTATGTAGCTCCAAGTATCCATCTGGTACCATTTTCCTTCCACCTGAAGAATTTCATTTAACATTTCCTGCATATCTTCTGGTGACAAATTATCTTAGCTTTCATTGGTCTAAGAAAGTATTTTTCTTAAATTTTGAAAGATATTCTCACTGGATGTAGAATTCTAGGTTGATAGTTTTTCTTTCAGCACTTTAAAGACGTGATTCCATTGTCTTCTGGCTTGCATAGTTTCTGATGGGAAGTATGTGGTTTCCTATACAGAATGCATCAGTTAATGTCCATGATATGTTCTGTGAAATAGGACGTATTATGATTTGGACATTATGTGAACACCATATTAAAACCTTATGGGAATACACTTCTAGTTGCTCTTGTCACTGCTGCTGCTGCTATACTACTATTGCTGGAACTGCTGGCAGAGGCTGGAGGAATGGGTGGCAGTAGTGGCTAAGAGCATGGTGGTGGAAGCAGGGAGGGAGTGGAGCATGCCCAGCCCTGCCTGCTGTTATGTCTTTCTGTATAGCAGGAGCAGCCTATGCCCCACATCCCCTGCCACTACTGCCTCTCTGCCCACTGGGCAAAGCCTGAGAGCCCATGCCTAGAGCCATACCCTTTACCTTACCTACCTGTATCCCACACATGGTTCAGTGCTGCAAGAGTCTGGGTTTGGGGGGTCTTTAAAACTGTTAGGGAGATATAATAAAAGAAGAGCTGCTTCCCCCTTCTTTTAAAAATTTTATTGTAATTTGCTTAAAAATTTACAGAGCAAATTCATTTATCATGCAATAGTTCATACACACTTTGTTTCATGACATTGACTTCAATTCCCCACAGTGTAACAACTGTTTTCCCAATTCCTCCCTGTAGTTACCTCTTCCCTGTGGCCTTCTTTCCTATGCATTCCTGTCCCCTGAGCTATCTCCCTGTGCAAACACTGCCCTTCTATTCTCCCATGATTGATCACTCTAAGGAGTGTATCTACCTGATGTCCGTGTTCCCCTTATATGCCTGTCTGTTGTTTGGCTGGAAGCCACAGAAGTGAGTTCAGTTCCAGATCTGAAGGGTAACCGGGAGCCATAGTCTCAGGGGTCTCACTAGGCTCTATCAGAACAGCAAACCTGGTCTTTTTTTTTTTAATGATTTTGAGTTTTGTTTCACGTTGTTCTCCCACTCTATCCGGGACCTCTTGCACTGATCCCTTTCCGAGTGGTTGACTGGTGGCTGGATACCAGCTAGTTCTTCTGGTCTCATGGTCATATAGACTGATGAGGATCACATGGTCTACTAGTCCCTTTGAGTAATTATCTCCATACTTCTTTGGTTTTCTTCATTCTTCTTTGCTCTGGATGAGGAGAGACCCAATGTTGCATCTAGATGGCTGCTTGCAGGCTTTTACGACCCCAGTCAGAACTGCTTTCCCGATCACGGACATATATGCAATTGGATATTGCCCAAATGGAAGTGATGCATACTTGTATTTGTTCTTCTGTATATAATGTGTTTCTTTGCCTACTTTTAAGATTTCTTTTTTATCTAGTTTTCAGCATTTCATTATGATGTGAATTTATGTGTTTATATATGAATTTTATATGTTTATCTTGTTTGAAGTTCATTGGGTTTCCTGATTCTATGGGCTTACAGTTTTCATCAAATTTGGGAAATTTTGGCCATTATTTCTTTAATTTTGTTGTATCTTTACACTCCCTTCTCCTCTCCTCTGGAATTTCAAGTACACATATATTAGAATGCTCGATAATGTCTCACAGTCACTGAGGTTCTGTTCACTTTTTTCAGTCCTTTCTTTTTTTCCTACCTCTGTGCTTTAGTTTGCATAGTTGTATTGCTATGTCTTTAAGTCCAGTGAATTCTAAAATTCTGTAGTGTATAATCTGCTGTTAGTCCCATCCAATGAATTTTTCATTTCAGATATTGTATTTGCTATCTCTAGAAGTTCTATTGGTTCTTTTTTAAATCTTGCATTTTTCTCCTTATGAACATCTTGGGCATTTCATCTTGAACATATTGATCTAATTCCATCGTCTTTATAATCTTGGTATCTGTTTCTATCAAAGAATTTTTCTCCTGATTATGGGTTCTATTTCCTTATTTCTTGGAGTGTCTAGTAATTTTTAATTGGATGTTAGACATTGTAAATGTTATGTTAACATTTAAGCATCTGAATTTTGTTGTCTTCCTTTAAAGTGTGTTAGGCTTTGTTCTGGAAGACTAAGTTGAGTTATTTGCAAATGAATTTGACTACTTTGAGGCTTATTTTTGATCTTTGTTAGGATTGGTATAGGTGAACTTTTTCTCTAGTAATAGTTTAGCCTTATTACTAAGACAGGATCCTTATGAGATCTCTATTGAATACCCTTTATGATCAGCAAAGACTCTTCACTCTAGCTGGTTGGAGCTCAAATGACTCCTTGCCCTGGGTGACCTCTGGCAATCGATCAGCTTGTAGCTCCTTTTTGCATAGTCTTGAAGAGTTTCACCCTACACTTGCAAAATTTAGTATTCAGCAAAGACCCAAAGAGACCCCTGTCAGAATTTTGCAGCTCCTTTTGGCAAAGCCCACTCCTCTGTGGAACTCTTCCTTGTAACTTCTAGCCACTTGAGCTTCCTTGACTTCCTGTCTCTGTCTCCTGGACTCAGTGAGAGCACCATGCTTTGCTGGGGATTCCTCTCCCTAAACTGCAGTCTGGAATATTCCTCCAGGCAGAAATTTAGGGCAAGCTTGGGTCATGATTTTTCCCTTCTCTCAGAAATCATACTCCAGGACTACTTGTTGCAATTATTTTATATATTTTGAAATAATAATTTCCTTGTTTGTGGTTGGAGGATAATTTTAGTTATTCTGTCAGCTTGGAAGTGAAAGCCTTTCATTGACCTTTTAATTGGGTTTTGGAAAGGAGAAGAGGCGTTAAATGCATGTTGTCAGTTCATTGTATTGAACTGGACATCGTAGACTCCTGAAATATTTAAGTTCAACAAACATATATGCCTCTTCTTTTATCATACAACGAAAATGCCATGCAATGTAATTGTGCTTTTCACAAAATAATAATAGGATTTATACAAACTATTAATACATAGTGTCCCACAAGCACAGGAGATGGATTTTAAGTTATACTGTGAATATGTTCTTTCATTCCTAACAATGTATTACTACAAATATTTGCTAAAACTCAGTGATAATTTATGGCCCTTCCTACATGGGTGGCATGGGACCTGCTAGGACATGTCCTGGCTTAAGCACCCACCTTGGCCAACACCCTCTCTGGACCACTCATCTGCATTAAGCTAACTCTTCACAGGCAAGACCACTTGGCCTTAGAAGAGGGAACTTAGGGACCTAGATGGACAGTGGGGGAAGAAGGCCCTCTCTCTCCCAGAGTTACTTTCAGTCCTATCCTTCAAGCTCCTTTCTACTCACCTGACCCCAGCTCATCATGTCAGTCTTTTTAATTGCCCTGTGTGATGATGTGGGAGCTCTGGTGGCATAGTGCCTAAGGCATTTAATGGCTAACCAGAAGGCTGGTGGTTCAAACCCACCACTGCTCAGGAGGAAGACTGGGCAATCTACTTCCATAGAGGTACTGCCTCAGAAACCTAAGGAGGGGTTGCTATGAATCAGAATCGACTCGACAGCAGTGAGTCTGTGTGATGAGTAAGGAGGGGCTTGCTGCCTGCTAAGTGGTTGTTGAGCTCAGATGGGCTGCCTCAGAGGTGACCAGGGCTACATCTTCCACTCCTTCTCCAGGTGGACATCGAGCAGCTGGATCCCCGTGGTCGGACCCCCCTGCACCTGGCCACCACGCTGGGGCACCTCGAGTGTGCCCGTGTGCTCCTGGCACATGGTGCAGACGTGGGCAGGGAGAATCGCAGCGGCTGGACAGGTGCGCACCCTTGCTTACCCAAGACCCACAGCCAGGCTCTTCCTAGCAAGTACTCAGCTAGTTGGCTGAAGGGAGTCCTAGGCAGGCTCCAGCCCTGTGACAATCCCTCCTCCTCCTCCAGTGCTTCAAGAGGCTGTGAGTACCAGAGACTTGGAACTAGTGCAGCTGGTGCTGCGGTACCGAGACTATCAGCGGGTTGTGAAGCGGCTGGCGGGCATCCCTGTGCTCCTGGAGAAATTACGCAAGGTGGGGCTTCGCTTCCCCATCATTGCCCTTAGACTGCATTTTTAACACAGGTGTAGTCACTTTCCTTTTTATCCTCCAGGCCCAGGACTTTTACGTGGAGATGAAATGGGAGTTCACTAGCTGGGGTAAGAGGGGCTGAAGGGGGCCCTTTCTGGGCACTTTCCCTCTTCCAGCCTTTTGCATTTGCTGCTCCCCTGCTTGGAGTCCTCTTCCCATAGCTCTTCACATGGCCCCTTCTCATCTTTTAGTTCTCAGCTCAAATGCCACCCCCTCAGCTAAGCCTTTCCAGACTACCCAGATATACCTCGATTCCATTGTTATGCTGATTTGTTACCTGTCACCCCTTGCTAGTTGGTAAATTCTAAGAGAGCAGGGATACTCCCTTATTCAATATTTTATTCACAGTGATTGGAATAGTGCCTGGCATATAGTAGGTGTTCAATAAATTGTTGTTAAAAGAACGGGTGGAAGATTGAGTGAATGAATTAATAAATGGTGGATATTAGGGACTCAGTGGGGACTGATACCTCCCTGTCTCCGACCTCAGCTTGCTCACGTCTGATTGAGTGGTGTCTACATTGGGGGGGGGGGTCTGTTAGGCAAAGGCTTGCTCCCCTACCAGTTACCTTAACCTTTTCTGGCCCCACCACTGACCCCAATTCCCATGCTGCGTGGGCCAGGCAAATCAAAACCACCTCTGACCTCCACTTCCACCCAGTGCCCCTGGTGTCCAAGATCTGCCCTAGTGACACCTACAAAGTGTGGAAAAGCGGGCAGAACCTGCGGGTAGACACCACACTCCTGGGCTTTGACCATATGACGTGGCAGCGAGGGAACCGCAGCTTTGTCTTCAGGGGCCAAGGTCAGCCAGGCAAGAGGTGGGACAGGGTCTGGGGAGAAGAGAGACAGCCTCCCACCACCCCTGACCCCCTGTGCTGTCCTGTGGCTGGCAGACACAAGTGCCGTTGTCATGGAGATTGACCACGATCGCCGCGTGGTGTACACGGAGACACTGGCTCTGGCCGGGCAGGACCGTGAGCTGCTTCTGGCCGCTGCCCAGCCCACTGAGGAGCAGGTGCTGAGTCGACTCACCGCACCTGTTGTCACCACGCAGCTGGACACCAAGAACATCTCCTTCGAGAGGTTAGTGGACATGGACTCTGTCAGTCTGGAGCCAGCCTGGTAGGGTACCTGCCTCACCTTAGTCACACTTTTTCCCCAGGAATAAGACTGGCATCCTGGGCTGGCGCAGTGAGAAGACTGAGATGGTGAATGGGTATGAAGCCAAGGTGAGGCTGCAGCCCCTAGGTGCCGGACCCAGGCACACTCTTGTGTACAGCAGGGTGGACAGACATTTTCCCAGCCATGAAGGCACACAGACAATGCAGCATGGAGAGAAGGGCACTAGACTGAGAGTCAGCTGATGAGGATGGCCAGCAATTACTGACCATTGTGTTCATATTCAAAGCATTGTTCTGATAATTTACACACACAGACACACACATTACACATGCATGTATACACTCACATATATATGTGTACATATACATGCATGTATACATATACACACATGTACAAATGGGTGTGTGTATGGGTATACTTATTTATTCTCATTTCTCACAACAACTCTTTGAAGTAGGTACCATTATTCTTATTTTACAGATGTTTATTGAGCCTTTTCTACAATATTTAACCTTGACAACTCTGTGAAGTAGGGACTATCAGCCTAATTTTATGATAAGGAAACTGAGTTTTGGAATGTTTAAAAGACCTGTGCAAGGTTCCAAAGAAAGTGGCATAGCTGGGGTGCCCGAGTTAAAAAGACTATATTTGTCACTCTGGGGTCCCTGCATTGCCTAGCACATGGGGATGCTGGTGAACAAAGGAAATAACAAGTGTGCAGAGTTCCGTACACATTATTTCCTCCTGGAACCCTTCCCTGGTTCTCTGGCCTTGGATGAGGCCTCTGTTCTTTGTCCCCACAAGGAGCTCTGGTGGCCTAGTGCCTAACGTATTTGACAGCTAATCAGAAGGTTGGTGGTTCAAACCCACCAGCCACTCCTTAGAAGGAAGACTGGGAAATCTACTTCCGTAAAGATTTACCACCTCAGAAACCCAAAGGGGGTTACTATGAGTCGGAATTGACTCAACAGCAATGAGTTTGGGTTTTTTTTTTTTGGTTCTTTGTTCTCACAGCCCTGTGCTACCCTCTTTAGAGCACGTGTCACTCACCCCACCTCACACACATTACAACTGTCCATTTTCTTGTCTGTCTCTCCAACTAGATTTTGAACCTCAAGGGCGGCAGGGATCATGTCTGGTGTGTGCATCACTGTATTTGTAACACCCACTCCAGTGCCTGGCACATTAACCAAAACCAAACCAAGCGCACTGTTGTCAAGTTGATTCCAACTCACAGCAGCCCTGTCAGACAGAGCAGAACTGCCTCATAGGGTTTCTAAGGCTGTACTCTTTACAGAAGTAGACTGCCACATCTTTTGCTGTTAGAGCAGCTGGTGGATTTGAACTGCCTACTTTTTACTTGTCAGCCAAGTGCTTAACCACTGCACCACCAGGACTCCTGCCTGGCACATAAAAGTTCCTCAAAAAAGAAAAAAAAAAAAAAAAAAGTGTTGTTGAATGAATGGATAAATAAATTCTTTTTTAAAAAAGACCAGGTTTACTGGTCAGATGGAGCCTGGTGAAATCCCTGAAGCCTGGAACAGAACTCACTCCTGTGGCTTCCAGCCAAACAACAGACATATAGGGTGAACATATTACATCAGGTAGATACACTCCTTAGAGCAATCATTTGTGGGAGATCAGAAGGTCAGTGTTTGCACAGGGACATAGCTCAGGGCGGGCAGGGATGCATAGGAAAGAAGGACACAGGGAAGAGGTAACTGCAGGGAGGAAGTGGGAAGAGAGCTGTTACATTGTGCGGAATTGCAGTCAATGTCATGAGACAAAATGTATATGAACTGCTGTATGGAAAATGAATTTGCTCTGTAAGCTTTCACCCAAATCACAATAAACATTAAAAAATAAATAAATAAATGATTTCATATATTTACTTGCCCGAAGGCCTGGAGCCTGGACCCAAAAGCTCCTCCAGGACCCTTCCTCCTTCCAGGGAGTGTTCAGAATGTCCTTGGGACAGGGAACTGAGGTACCAAAGCTGTCTCTGAGCCCTTTTTCCATCTGCTCCCAGGTGTATGGGGCATCCAACGTGGAGCTCATCACCCGGACACGGACAGAGCACCTTTCAGAACAGCACAAGGGCAAGGTGAAAGGTAATAGGACAGGGGTGGGTGCAGGGAGGTGTTGCAGGACTGAAGGAACAAGCTCCAACTCCAGTGTTTCCCTCAGCATTGCCTCTGTCATCCTAGCAAGTGCCAGGATAGTCTAGTCAGAGACAGTAAATAGATTGAAATTCAACTGCCAAACTCGAATGATTGGCAGTGGCTGCTAACCCCTAGAGTATGGCCAAGAAGGTTCTAAGGCAACATCTGGGCTCAGTGGGAAAAAATACTGCAATTAATTACTCATGTCTGCACTGGGACAGGAAGAGGAGAGAAATGTCATGGTTGCCATTTATTGCCCATTCTAGTCTAGTGAGACATCTGTTCGGCAGAAAGGCAGGGGCCCCTGCTGTTGATTCTCTGTGCCTCTTGACGCCACATCTGGTTTTTCTAGACACCAGTCACCCTGTCTGAAATGACTCACAGGAGGATCAAAATGAAGTCATTGATAAGGAAGTCCCCGAAGGAAAACACATATTCACATGTATATCTTAAAACTGCTTACCAAACGCAGATATTTTACTATCCAGTGTCACCAACCTGGAGGGTGGCACTTTTGGAAATTTCTCCCGAGCCCCAGGCTTCCTTTTCTTCCAGCTGTGCTTACAGTACTTCTGCTCCCCCCATGCCCGGGAGTCCTCAGTCACCTACCTGGGTATGTGGTATGGATGATCAGTACCCCCCCACTCCAGGAACCAGCCTCCTCCCTAGATCTTGGGTGCAGTCCCTTCAACAAGGTGCCCAAGCGTGTGTGGGACTGTGGTGTCCTCTGAACTGCCACATTTCTTGTAGGTTGTAAGACACCTCTGCAGTCCTTCCTTGGAATTGCTGAGCAGCATGGGGGCCCTCAAAATGGGGTGAGTGTGTACCAGGGCAACACTGTGTGGAGGAGTGTGGCTGTGGCTCACGAGGAGGCCTGGGAAACATCCTGCTTAGCATGGCCTGTGTGGACCTCCTTTCCACAGTGCCCAAGGCAGGGGGCATAGAACGGGGGCCCTGTGATACCAAATGGCTAACCTGGCATCAGAGACTAAGAAGGGCTCATGGGCCCCTCCCCATGTGCTACAGACCCTGGTCACTCAGACTCTGAGCCAAGCCAACCCCACTGCCATCACCGCAGAAGAATACTTCAACCCAAGCTTTGAGCTTGGCAACCGTGACATGGGCCGCCCCATGGAACTCACCACCAAGACACAGAAGTGAGGCCCCTGCTGGTGCTGGGTAGGGGTGGGCAGGGCAAGGTTTCCAGGAGGTGCTGGGAGGCCATGGCTTCCTACAGTGTCCCTCACCCCTTGGGATCTGGGGGGGCAGGTTCAAGGCCAAGCTGTGGCTGTGTGAGGAGCATCCCCTGTCCCTGTGTGAGCAAGTGGCCCCCATCATTGACCTCATGGCCGTCAGCAATGCGCTTTTCGCCAAACTCCGAGACTTCATCACCTTACGCCTGCCTCCTGGCTTCCCAGTCAAGATCGGTGAGACCCACTCTCCCCAACTTCCCCCTGGCCCTGGGTAGAGGGTGGGATTTAGATTTAAGAGTGAGAGGGGTTCTGAGGGGTGACGGGGAGGGCTGAGGTATGAGGGGGTGGGCAGTAGTGGCCCCTGATGGTTCCCTCATCCCTAGAAATCCCGATCTTCCATATCCTCAACGCCCGCATCACCTTCGGGAACCTCAATGGGTGTGATGAGCCGGTGCCGTCCGTGCGAGGCAGCCCCAGCAGTGAGAGCCCCTCCCCAGGCAGCGACTCCTCTAGTGTCAGCAGCTGCAGTTCCACGAGTGAGGCCTTGGACTCCTTCCTGAATCTGCCCTCGCTTTCCCTTCCTTTCTTGGGTGCACGACTCTGTGGTGGGCTCTTGTGGGGTGAAGCCAGCGCCCGCTTCTGACCCGTAGTCCCCCTCCCCGTAGCCTCCTGCCGTGGCTGCGAGATCTCCCCAGCATTGTTCGAAGCCCCACGAGGCTACAGCGTGCTAGGTGGCCATCGAGAGGCGGTGGCCCGTGATGACGACGATGACCTACTGCAGTTTGCCATCCAGCAGAGCCTGCTTGAGGCGGGCAGCGAGTATGACCAGGTGCGTACCCCAGGCTGCGTTGGGACCTAGAGCTGCGGCACCACCCCGGCTAACTGGCCCCGCCCCCTTCCTTCAGGTCACCATCTGGGAGGCGCTAACTAACAGCAAGCCGGGCACCCACCCTATGTCCTATGAGGGTCGCCGACAGGACAGGTCAGTGCTCTGCAGGCTGGAGAGTTTGGAGACACTGCCTATCTCCAGCCCACTGCCCTACCTACACACACACACACACACACACACATACTACACCATCAGACCAGTCACCCTCTTGGCCTGGAGACACCATGGTGCTCTCAGCAGGGACCCTACTTGTTCCAGGATGGCTTCTACCAACATTCTTTCCTTTACCTGGCTTTGGGGTGTGTGGGCAGTGCTCATACAGCAGGTAGGGGTCAGGGCCCAGGCCTTACTGCCTTCAGACTCTCACCAGGCAGGATGCCATGCTCTGGGCAGCTGTAGATGGTGAGGACAGGCTTCGTAGGGGTTGGGATCTGCCTCCATCCGCAGAAACCAGGGAGGTGACTGAGAGGGTGGTCTGGTCAGCTCTGCCCTCGGATCTCCACGCTGCCTTCAGGTCCTGCCTACCAGAAGGTGCACCTGCAGCCCTTGACGTATCTTCCTCGTCCCCAGGAGCGCCCCGCCTACGCCGCAGCGCCAGCCAGTGCCCCCAGCAGCCCCCACGTCGGTCCCCAGCCCTCGACCAAGTCCCGGCCCAGGCACCGGCAGGCACGTGTTTCGGAGCTATGATGAGCAGCTGCGGTTGGCCATGGAGCTGTCCGCGCAGGAGCAGGAGGAGCGGCGGCGGCGTGCGCGCCTGGAGGAGGAGGAGCTGGAGCGCATCCTGCGGCTCTCACTGACCGAGCAATAGCGCCCCCTGCCGGGCCTCTCGGCCATGCCACAAGGGACCCATCCCAGGCCCGGAGCAAGAAGGGGCCTGGCGTGCACCCTCTGCTGAGCTGGGGCTGGAGACTGGAGTCACCGCCTAGGGGTGCAGAAGTGCACTAGGCACAATATGGGGAGGTGTAGCTTTCCGGGCCAGGACCCTGGAGGCGGCTGGCACGGCCCGGTCCCCCTGCTTTGCTGTGTTCTGACTTTCTTCTTCTCCACCCCTCTTCCCCTTGGGCTCAGACCTTTCTGAGGACAGAACTAAGCATTCCTGAGGGGGAGATGAATCCTTAGAGGAACAGTGTCCTTCGTTCCTTCTGACTGGCCCGCCCTCCTGCTCACTGACCCCACTCCGGGACACTGCCCTTGAAGCCTTTGCATCTCCGCTCTTCACCCCTGGGGGGCAGCCGAGCTCCCCGCGTGCTGTGTCGCTGCTTTGTCCCAGACATCAACCAGCACGCCAAGGGTGCAGCCCCTCTCCCACCCCGCCATTTCAGCGTCAAGTGCACTTAGCGGGGTGCCCGGCTCCCCTACCCCCACACCCCTCCTGGGTCTCAGGGTGGTTCCAGCCTCTCCATGGGCAACAAGAAGTTGGAGTTCCCGTTTCCAAGGCACGCTTTTTGTGATGAGGGAGGGTGTCCAAAGTAGCCTGCAGACCTGGGCAAGGTCTGGCTCCCTTATGGTGTCTTGGCAAGTAGGGGCATATTGGACTAGGGGACAGGCATAGACTGTGCATTAGGCTGGACACAGGGGGGTCTCCCAGGGACCCGGCACCACCATCCAACGCGTCCTACCAGCTGCTGCTAGCCCTATGTGGTTGTTTGTCCCATTTGCCTCCCACCCAGGGGCTGACTCAAACCCTTTATCCAATGGTGCTAACCCCCGGCTCCCCTCTGCCCCTCCCCACCCAACTAGAGAAGCACAGACCCCCACCAGGGGCAGGGGCACATGGCACACCCTTGTCTTGGTCTTCTCTGGGACTGACCTAGGCGCCCTGAGTGAAGCTCAGAAAGGGGGCGGAAGAAGAAAGCAACAAAGAGAAACTCCTCCTATTCCTTTCCTTGATGCCAGGGGCACCAGACTGATTCTGAGGCACAAATAAAAGAGGCTTCAAACCCAAGGCTCTTCCTAACTGGCTTTACTGGGGAGCAGTGCCCACAGTACTTCTGAACTTTAGCGTGGGGAAGGATCTGGGGTAGGAGGCTGCTTGGTGGGTCCTGAGCTCAGTGTTGCATTTGTCCAGACCCCAGGGAGTCCGGGGGTAGCACTGGCAAAGGCTAGGGTTCTTGCCCTCCTTACCCCCACACACGCAGGAGGCACAGATGGAGCACTTGGTACAGTATTTCATTCGGTACGTCTTGTTTTCCTCAGAGTCAAGGCCACAGCAGAGGACTGGGGGCAGTGTGTGTGTGTGTGTGAGGGGAAGGAGGGAGGTGAATCTGCTTCCTCAAGACAGTTCCCCCGCGGGGGGTGGGAGGTGATGCCATGAAGAAGCCGCCTTCTGCCTTGACCGTGGGAAGAAAGGAGAGAGGGCCCTTGGCAATAGACCGTTGGGTGTAGCCAGTGGGATCCATCTCTGAAGCCAACAGGGTAATGTATGTCTATGCAAAACTGGGGTAATACCCCTCTGGTTTACCACTCAGGGTGGTGAAATCAACTGAGCTGATTAGAGAAGCGATGTAATTTCTCCTGGCAGCCCGGGGAGACCCATGGAATCTCCACCCCTTTAAGGAGGTCAAGCTCAAGCGCCTCAGTATCCCCAAGCATCGAGTTAATAATACTAAGCACTTCCTCTGCCCGGGGCTGGGGACAGAGGGAAGCACTGCTTTGCCGTGCAGCACCGTTGCTGAGGCCCCCTTTGCCCCGGGCCTCCCAAGGCCAGCTTCTGCCTAGTTTCCGACAAGGCGCGCAGCCCAGCCAGCGCCAGACAGACGGGGGTCTGTGCGACGTTCTACAGGTCCAGGACTCCCATGAGGGGCGGGGTTCCCCCCAGCCCCGCCCCTGACCCAGCCTAGGGAGGCGGGGCCCGGAGCCCCAGATCTAAGCCCTGGGCGGGGCTGAGTCGGGGCGGGGCCGAGTCGGGGGGCGGGGCCCGCGCCCCCCCCCCCCCCCCGCCCCGCTCCGCCCGCCTGCCGGGGAGCTTCCCTCAGCGCGCTGCGCTAGTCGGTGCCGTCCACCAGCTCGCACAGCATATTTTCCAGTGCCGTGATGCGCTCCTCCTGGGCCTGCACCCGCTCGCGAAGGGCCTTGATCTCCTCCAGCACCGTCTCCAGAGTGTGCTGCTGTTGAGGCGCGGAGGACAGAAGAGGAGGTGTCGGCCAGGGGGCAGTAGGGGCACGTGTAGACTGGGCTTGGGTGGGTGGGGCCGGATCTCACCGACAGGGCGGTGTCGTTGGCTGACTGGCTGCGGCGGGGCCCGGAGGGTGGGCGGACGTCTAGGATGTTGCGCTTGGTGACCCGGAGCTCGCGGTGTTTGGGGGGCACGTAGCCGTCCCGCAGCGAGATAAGCACTGGCTCGGCGTCCTGGCCAGACATCCACTCGTCCGCTTCGAGGGCCGGCTCAGGGCCTGGCGTATCCGGGTATAGGTCGTCCTGGAACAGGTCTGACTGCGGGGGAGTAGGAGGATAGACGGACGCATGTGAATGGGGCGCCGGGCCGGCTGTGCCCCCTCCGGTCTCCGAGTCCTGCGCCTACCCCTTTCCTGTCCCCTCACCTTGCGGGGCACAGTCATGATGATGGGCTCACACTTTCTTTCGTGCAGCTTGTAGAACCTATAAAGGAATGGGGTTCAGTACTCCCACGGGATCCCCCCTTTTCCCCTCCTGAATTCCTCCTGCCTGGAACAAAGGGGTTAGAAGCCAACACTGAGCGCCTTCCAGTGCACACTGCCCTTTGTAAACATATGGATTCAGCGGTACACCACCTCCAATGGAGGTGTTACCATTTCACAGATGAGGAAACTGAAGTTCAAAGAATGGCAAGACAGTGAGTGCTGGTGCTCACTCTGTGACGCCCCTCCCCCCAACCTACTCTTCTCTAAAGTATTAAACTGTTGGGGAAGCACTGTGGCTAAGACCCATGGGAGTGGGGGACAGAGGCGGGCGTGCTGACCGGGCGATCTCGCACTTGCTGACGTCCAGTCCCCGCTTGGGCATGAAACCCATGCCTCTCTGCGGCTCCTTGCTGCTGAACGTGTTGAGGTAGTGCACGAAAGGCGGCTCGTCGGTAATCTCAAAGTACCGGATGCTGCTGTCGCCCTGCAAAGCCAGCCAACTCAGAGGCGCCTGGGCGGAGCCCTCCATCTCTCCCCGTCTCAGTCCTGCCCATAGTTCTCCCCGCCCCTGCCTGCCTCCCCGCCCGGCCGTGACCACCTTGCCACACAGGTAGACGATGCTGGAGTCAGGGTCGTAGAACGGCAGTAGGACCCCGTTGCTTGTGTCCATCTCTTGCAGCGCCACTGGCTCCTCAAAGTTGTTCTGCCCAAGCACAAGAGGCGTGACCAGCCCTGCTCCTCCCTCTGGTGCCACTACGGGACTCTCAGAAGCACTTTTAGATTTCTGCGCACCCCAGACCTCATGCATCAGGTCCCTGGCGCTGCAGCTCCCGCTCCTGGGCACATCACTTCCCCCTCCCCTGCACATATGTCCCCTGGGTCGCCGCATGCAGTCACAGCAAACCACCCCCAGGGACTTGGCATCACCAGGTGGGGTCGCCAGCGCTGGCTTCTTCAGGCGACGCAGCAAAACTAGGCAGAGGGGTGAGTGTGGGAATGGTCAGCACTGCAAAGGGGCCGGCAGCCCCCAGCCCTTCCAGGTGGGCATCTCTCCGGGTGGGGGGCGCCTGGCCTTTCTCCCGTGATGCCAGTCCCCGGGGCACACACCCCAAGCCTCCAGCTGCGTTACCGGGTCCCACAGGCCCAGCTCTCGCTGGCTCATGCGGGTGAAGCCCGTGGTGAAGATGTGACCCTGACGTGTGAAGACAGCCCTCATGGGCCTCATCCCCTCGTGGGCCGCAAACCTCTCCTGGGGGAAGGGGGATATAGGGAGGGGCGTCACCCAGCTTGGAGGGGGAGCCGAGCAACCACCTTGCTGACTTGGATGTATGTGTGTGTTGGGGGGCGGGGTTCGTGGGGAGACAAAGATTGGCCTAAGTACTCAACTTCTTGGGGAGCCATGGCTGGCCCCATGCCTGTAGAGCATCGGCCCGGAGAGACCGCGTGCCTCCCAGCAGATCCCGAGCCCTTAAGCGCCCTCAAAGGCTGATCCCTAGGGCAGGCGAGGTCTGCCGGCTGCCCGGGGTCGCAGTGAGGCTTTTCCCGGCCGGGAGCTCCCCGCTCCGCTTCGGCCCTCTTGGGCACGGGCCATGGCCCGGGAAGGCGCTCCAAGCTGACCCAGCGAAGGAGAGAGCGAGCGCGCCCTGGCCTACCGGGTCCCAGAGCGCGAGTTGCCGCTCACTCATCCTGCTGAAGCCGGTGCTGAGCAGCTTTCCGTCCGCCGTGAAGACTGCCCGCAGCGGACGGGCGCCCTCGTGAGGCCGGGCTCGCTCCTGCTCGCGGGGTTAGTGGGTTAGAGCGCCCGCCAGCCCGCTCCGCCCCGCTAGATGCGCGTGCACTACGCAGACATGCACGCGCCCTGCTCACTCCAGTTTACAGACGGAGTGAGCCGAGTGCCGCTGCCCTCTCCGGGCACCCACTGGGATGAGTTACGCGCGAGGGTTGCCCCAAACCCCCTCCCAGCGGTAAGGGGCCCGCCCGCGAGCCAGTGCCAGGCCCCAGACCCTGGAAGATGGCGTTGGGTGCCGGCTGAGAGGAGAGGGGTCCGGGAGTTCAGGTTTCATGCAGGTTCTAGTGGGAGGATGGAGTTTGCAGCTTCTCCCTTCAATCCTAAAGCAAAAAGCCCTCCTCTGGGCTTCTGAGATGCAGGGGAGGAGAGGGAAGAGGGGCGGGGCAGAGAATTGTGGGCTGGGGACTTACTTGGGGGACAAGAAGTTATGGTTGCAGAGTTTGGGGGAGGAGGGCTGGTGGGGTAGAGGGGGGAGGGGAGAGTTGGACTCAGGGGGTTCAGAGGATTGTAGGTACAGGGGGCTGACAGCTGGTCCCTGGGGCTGAGGCTGTGTCTCGGGGGCAGCTGGGCCAGGCACTCACCGCCACCACCTGGCCTTTGCGGGGGTCAATAATGCGCAGGGTCTTGTCCTTGCAGGTGGTGGCAAGCAGGCTACCATTGCTGTTCCAGCACACACTGTGGATGACATCTGGATGCATATCGTCCAGGCTCAACAGCACCTCTCCGGTGCCCACATTCCAGACGATGATCACATTGTCGCCACCTGCCCAGAGAGGCCAGGCATTATTACCTGGGCCCTGCCTTTGCCACCCCCCCATGCCCCCGGCCTACAGTAGGGACCCCTCCCCGGTCCCCCAGACCTGCACTTAGCAGGACATTCCGGGCAGTAGGGTGCCAGGTGATGATGCCCACACGCTTGGAGTGGCCCTCAAGTGTGATGATAGGTTCTGTAATGTTGCGCATAGGGGTATAGTCTGGAATCTGCCACACCTGGGCAGGACGAAAACACATAAGGTTGGTGAGGTGAGGAGCTGCTTCTGTCCCCCCACTTCTCCCCCACACACCCCCTCAACCCTATGGCTCCCTTGGGTGGTAAGGGTAAAATACAAGGCAAGATGTGGTGGTGCCGCCTGGGGCAGAGGCAGCTGGGAGCCAGGAGGGGGCACTTTCAGCTCTCCAGAGATGTCCCCGTTCACCCCAGCAGGGAGACGCCAGAGCACTGCCCCTGCTCTTCAGGCCCCAAGTTGGCCAAGAGGCTATAATTATCCTAAGCAGTGCATCCTGGGAGGGGGTGGGCATAGAGCTAAAAATAGCCTGGAAGCTGGGCAGGGCAGGGCCCTGGGACCCAGCACCTCCCTTACCACCTTCCCCAGCACAGGTGAGGCAGCCCTCCCCACTCCCCCTACCCCATTGCCCAGCAGCATCCATCTGGCTCCTACCATGATGGTGGTGTCATCTGAGGCACTGGCAATGACGTTGTCATTGTGTGGGCACCAGTCGATGTCCAGCACAGGAGCAGTGTGCCCAGTGACCAGTGGGTAGTTCTTATCCACT